TATAATGCATTGTCTTGTATGTGTCAAAATATGTTATACATATAATACAATTATAGTAACCGATAATAATAATACATTTCTTCTCTTTTCAAGATACTTTTTTTTATATTTTTACACAGTAATAATAGATATGTTAACTGAAAAAATTAATGTATAAAAGGTTAACAAGAATTTTTCATATTTAATTTTGAAACTAAGAGTCATCTATTACTTTTTTTTTTGCATTAATGTTTCAGCAACAAAGCATGGAATTAATATTCTGAAAATGTCATTCACTCGCATGTGTGAGTCTGTGTTTCTGGAATTTGATGAAGGACTTGAGCTTCTCTATCTAATCACACACTTGAAATATAATTTGCAAATAGATTTTCATGAAAGGTTTATCATTTTGTTTCAATCATAAACTTGCAATTTGGTAATTTGAAATCTAAAAGATGTCAGTGCATTGTCTCAAGGACAGATATATTAATAGCCCTATTCACTCCAACGTTTTTTCCGCCCCTTTAATCCTCCAACCATGCACTTTCGTGTCCCACCGAGATTTTGATTGTTCGCCGTTTCGAGAGTAAATGAGCTAGGACTTTGAAATTTGTACCTGATGTTCCCTACTGTAACAACTTTTTTTAGGAGGGGGGGATTATCTGACGATCATTTGTTTTCCGGAACAAACGACTGTTAGAAACTCGTGGGACGCGAAAGGGCATGGTTAGAGTGAATAGGGCTAGTAATGTTCAGTGTTATTTCTTTTACCATTTTGTCACCGATTAGCAAGAAATCAATATGATGCGAAAGAGAAGAGTCCTCATGGTTTGTTTGGGTATTGTATAATGTAATTTACCTATTTTTAATTAAAAGCTGATGAATTTGTTAAATTGTCACACTTTTCTTAAAGTATAAGACGTTAAGTATAGGAAGTTAAATATTATTATTTCAATAAGTCTTTTTTCTGGAAAAAAATATAATTTAAGTAAGAATTACTATTGTAACACACTTGTGATGAAATAATCTTTTTAGTAAATGAGAGATTCTGAATTATTTCATGTGAGGTTAGTTTACTATTTTTAAGAGTTACATAATTAAATACTTGTCAAAGTAACTAAAGTAAATGCTAAATGCAACAGTCTTGACCTTTCTTACAACGTTATATCAGTACTATCAGTAGTCTGCATGCTTAATCAGTTAAGTAATAACCTTAAGAGACAAGAACAACAGTATAAAATATTGTTACTTTTGTCAGCACTTTGTATAATGATACATAAAGTTATTATTTACATTTTCACATGTTACAGACTGATCCCAAGCGTTACTTATGAATGCGTTATCGCATCACCGTTCATACTTAAAAAAATCATTTATTTCTGTATGTCATTAAATCTCGGCTTTGCGTTGAAATTATTAGAAAGGCTGCAAGGAGAAATACTTGTGTAAATTGCTTGCGAGAAATGCGTTATTTTACACTAAATCTGGAAGAAGTTCTGAAGTGTTAAATATCACTGTTGCTGTTCACATCCCTTATAGAAATTTAATACTGTGATTTTTTGGCTAGTGATTAATCATTTAAAAGCATTATTAAAAGCACTATTAACAGTGCTTTTAATAGTGCTTTTAAGTGATTAATTACTAGCCAAAAAATCACTTACAGTATTAAATTTCTATAAGGGATAAGTTTGCGAAATATTGGAGTCCATTTCAAAACATTTCAACGATAATCTAATTAAATTTTAATTTAAATTAACGTTTTGAACTGATTTTTTTGCGTAGGGAATAGCTGCCGCTCCCCTATGGCAGAAGCAGTGTTTCAGGATCAAGTGCGACAGATGGGTTTGAGCGATCTTTGGGAGGTCGAAAGCGCCGCTATTCTGGGGTATCACGTAGGCAATGGTCCTGAACCCAGGGCGATGTCCACACTTCGGAAGGCTGGAATTACGGATTACTCTCATATCGCGAGACAAGTAAGAATTACAATTCTTGACCCTCGCGCCTGTGTTTGTCTATCAGTTTTACATGATTGCTGGACCAAAATATTTTCCACGGCGATACGGATACAGGAACTTGAATTATATTAAGGATAATTTTAGATCACGTCCAACGATTTCTACAAATTTGATTGGATATTCGGAATGGACGAGTATAATATCCACGTGCTGTACGAGATGCAACCAGAGGATAGCCGAGCGAAGATAGAGCTACTTGGGAAATACGATCCCGCTGGATTAGTTATTATAAGAGATCCTATCTTTGTACGTATCGCGCAAGATATCCTGCAAAAAGTAGAAGAATTTAACAAAATTTTGGATTTTTTGGGGATTTAACAAAATAGATTGTATATTTTTCTAATGTAAATTTGATCATGTGTAATCAGTGGGTTTTGCTTACCGACAGGATGCTGGTAGTGCTGGATTTGAGAAAGCATTTGAGCAAGCTCTGAGAAGCGTACGCGCATTTTTGGAAATTAATAAGGTGTATTTCTCGTTTCATCTTTCTAGTATTATTTGTATATAATTCTAAAAGATCACTTTACTACCCTAATCTTTACGAATCCTATCTCTGAAAACTTTATTAGCGATTTGTTTTAAGATCACTTTCTGTATCTTATTCCAAATGTTGTAGATTTTTATAACTAACTCAAGTACGTTTTATTTACAGGATAATACACTCGAAAAACTGCAATAAAAATTCAATTTAATTTTTTAAATTTATCTAGCAGCTCTACCGCAGAGTATGTACAAAAATAAAAAATTTATTTTTAAATAAAAGACATTGATTGTTCTGAAATCCAATTTCACTGAACGATAATATACGCGATCTTTCGAATCAAGATTCGACTGTATAAAGACAAGACGATACTTTTTTCGATTTACCTTTCCAGACCCATTAGTTTATAATTTTGTTTGCAAATTTTAAAATGCATATCCTTTCTAAAAGAGTTCGATTCTTTGAAAATGGAATTTAATTCGAGATTTATTAAAATAATTTGCTGTTAAGAAGGGCCAAGAAACATGGCCTTTAAGATGGGGTCTTTTTGTTCCGAATCAATTGCGCGTAAAAATTTGATGAAGCAATTACGCTGAGAGGAAGAGAGTCCTTAGCCTATTATTTTCTGCATAAATAACGCGCATATCAATGTAAAGTAAATGCACAAATGGAGTATACACGGTGCCCTGTATCGCGCTTCAGCCGTAAAATGCTACATTTGCAGACTTTGTTTTGCAAATGAAGCCTTTTGCATAATTTGTTCCTTCGAACAGAGAAATTTAATTAACATCTCGCGATGGTGAATGTCGGTTCGAGCGTAAATTCCTTCCGCTACCTTTGCCGCTACAGCCTCACGAGACGTCAGAACGAGATGTGGAGAGAATGAAACTCTGGAAATACATGTTTTCTTAAATGTGGAATATGATAAAACATCATTGCAAACTTTGCACGCCAATTTCATCAAGCTTTTATCACTCTCAAATATACAAGAAATTAATGAAATCTTAGAAAGAAGTGTGTGTTCTACTTTTCTTGCTCTGAGAAATGAAACAGTTTGTCGAGCTCGAAAAATTGGAAAGATTAGAAACTTAGAGGTTTCTACCGATACGAAATGCTCCAGATAATTAGTACAATTATCCTATTAAATGTTACCCTGAAGGAGGAAAATTGTACGTCTAAAGAGCCGTTAAGCGTGAATTTAACGGATGTTATCTAATTCGAAAGAAAGTTGGTGAAATCGACGGTAATACCCGCAAAATCCGATCGCGCTCGTTTCGAGCCGCTTCGCGAAAGATCGATTACAGGCTGCGGGACGTATAATTGCGCGCATTAAATTGATACGGATTGGAACGCGAACGAATAGCATTGAGTCTGTGAGAGCAACGCAGCTGTTTTGCATACGGCGTGCTTTGAATTCTGAAATGATGAATACTTATATCGAATATATACAGAAATGTTCACGAACATCTCAAAATAAAAATGCTGAAAAAAATCTCTCGCCATCAATTCGATATTATATATTATATTATATTAAATGTATGTAAAAAACTGAACGAAATCGATTCATGTAAGAAAAATATGGTTTTGTTTAAAAAATATGTAGATGACGATCTTAATACGATCTAGAATAAGTAAAGAAAAAATGATTTCTGTGCTATCAGATTTTATATTAAAATATAATTAAGAAAACCTTGTTACTATTATTATTATATTGTATATAATATCTTATACGCGATATTTTATATAAAATATATATAAAATGTTTATTATTTTACATTGTTTGTCATACAATTACATATATATTTTTATGTGCAGTATAAAAATTAAATACAATGTTAAAGTTAAATTGTCATTATAATCAAAACATTGAAAAATTATAAGTGTCTCTTCCCATTTCTCAATACACAAAGAAAAAAATTACCATACAAGTAATGTTTTAAAACGATTATAATAGATTGTATTATTTTTCGATCAAGCTAAAATCAATGTTATAAAGGATCATAGATCACAGGCGTTTTTTGCCGTTACGAGGAAAATTCCACGTGGTATTCGTCACCGCGTGATGTCGTACGTCGCGAAGTTAGCCGCGTAGCGTCACAGGTGCATCGTTGGAGGATCTTTCCCCACCACGCTTCTCTTTACAGCCACGTTCCTTAGCACGAGATCCGTCTGTATGTATATACATACCGAACTTATTGAAATTATTCAAATAAATTATTATATCGCATAAGTCATTTAAATTTATAATTGGTGCATACATTAGCGCGCTTCTCGGGTTTCTCTTTCAAGCCAAATCTCTCCTCTGCTCCTTCTCGTGAGGGGGGAAATTTTATAAGGACGGAAAGAAGGATCCCTCGCGACCAAATTTTCTGGACCTTTCACCTTCCGCTTTTCTCTCGTCCTGGTTTTGCAAGAATTCGATCTCGTCCGTTTCGTCCTAAGTACAGAAAACATAATGCGATCCAGAAAGGGGAGCAGACCTCATTTTATCTCTTTTCTTCTCTATTTCTCTCACAATTCTCTTATCACACATATACACACATGCATACGTACAGTGACATTAACCGTGATTACACGCGTGTCCATACTTGCCTCGGTTGAGTGCAGGTGTGACGTCGCGATTTTTCATTATTTTCTTTTTTTCTCCATCACCACATACATGCATACATACAGACGTTAGACACACACATATGCGTTTACTAAATTTTATTACGTCTAGACGGCTACACGTGTGTGCGTCCGTTTCAGTTCGAGTACAGAAGGGTGTAGCACAGTGTAGCACTCGCAATCAGCAGAGACCTGGTTTCGCGAATCGCGAGAATCGAGCCCACGCGGTCGAGTCGAGCCTCTTTCGAGTGAAGTGCGCCGTAATAGGGAGGTATAGTGGGGAGAAATCGCTCTCCCGCTCGCGCGATTCGTTCCCCGGGGTTATAAAGTAATGCGCCGTCGAGGGGAACGCACGGAATCGGGCCTGCGAGACACACCGCGCTGCGATGCCCTACATGCTGACGATGGCTGACGAAATACCGAGGGATACGTTGCTGAATCGCGTGAGGGAGCAGGGCGAGGTGGTGCGACGGCTGAAAGCCGCGAAGGCCGATAACACGCAGGTACGCGCCCGCGCCCTTCCCTCGACCCTTCGCGCTCCCTTTTTTTTCCTACTTCTCCCGCGGGAATCCTCGGCGACGCGTCGTCGAGTCGCGAACCTCGCGACTCGCGTCCCCGTGCTCTCCCGTGACAGATGTGCGCCTCCTTTCTCCCTCTCGTTTTCGGAGGGGGGAATCAGCTCCGCTCCGCTCCGCGCTCGATTACACCCTGTCGTCGTGTCACCTTCACTTCCTTCCGCGAAATCGAGGGTTCGCCGCACTCGAAAGCGGTCTTCTGGTCTTTTCACCTCGAGCGTTTCTACCTTTACCTCATCACCTCGCACCTTGCGTCATGCCTCCTTGATTCGTGGCTTCGACCTTTCTTTCACGTCGGGTCCTGTTGGCTTTCAATCGTGCCGCTCTCCGCGCTCGGCTTCCCTCTCGTTCTGAAGTCCAGCGGAAGCGTGAACGATTTTTCTTTTTCTAACAAAGAAAATATGATTAGACCTAACCTTTCGTAACGGTGGATATGTGATGCAACAGGCCCCTCGCAATGTGACGGCAATCTCGATTGAAACAGGCGCAAAAAGTAGATTTCTCTTTTCCCCCTTTTCTTTTTTGCCACCAATGTTCCCGAGCCTTTCTTTAGAGCGACACGTCTCATTTCTCAGGAATACAGAGAGCAGTCTGATATAAATGTTGAGTTAGAAAGCTTGAACGATGATCTTGCGGATGTCAGCTACGTGTGCGGTTGGTGGCCAACGTCCAAGGACGCCGAACTGTACGACACGTTGCGCGTCGTCGTCCTTAACGACGAGCTTGCAAGGTGGCCGCATCTGAACAGGTGGCACATTAACATGAAAAGCTTTACTCGGGAAGAGCGCCTGGCGTTTCCCGCTGTGGAAGCGCCGCTCGCTTCCCTGGCGGAAAAGCTCGAGCGGTTAAAGAGCACTCGCTATATTAGCAAAGATACGCTAGACAAAAAGGTGAGGCAGCCGGTTGCTTGCGAGCAGAGCTGCCATAAATTATTTCGCAAATTGCTGCGGCAGAACGTGCGGGGAGAAGATTCTCCCAGCTGAAGATACGTAGAATCTTTTGCACGACAAAAATTAGATATGGTTTTGGGAAACAAAATACGTTTCATTCTGAGAAATTAAATTTTCCTGAGATGTTCCTCCTTTCCAAATTCTGAAAGCTTGAAATTTGTTAAGAAAGGAAAAAAGATTAGAGACAATGTCTTTGTTGATTGTAGACTGTACGGTAATAATTAATGGCAGCCTCTTACTAGCTTGCTTACTGATATTATCTCTGCTGTTTCGACTAGTTTGATAAATCAACATTGAGGGGGCTTTTCTCTTTCATTCTGGTTGTCTTGTAATTCCTTCATCCATTCCACGATGTTACGCCTGATACGCAACAATACTTTCCCCGTCGTATGGAAACGCAATTGCAACGTATTGATGTCCACGACGCCACAGGTGGGTACGATGTTCTCGACTATCGTTCCCCCGGATAACTGAGAACGAGAGTGATGCCCCACACGTTCCTTATATCAATGGCGCGTTTATTTGCTTGTTCGTAGATAGCGGAGGAAGTTGCCAAGTTGTTGGACCTGAAAGCACAATTGGGAGAGGAGAATGGTTGCTCTCACAAACTCATCCTCAAAACGCCGAAAGGCACGAGGGATTATAATCCGGAGCAAATGGCGCTGCGACTGGGAGTGCTGGAGAAAATAATATCAGTATTCAAGCGTCACGGCGCTGAGACGATAGATACGCCTGTATTCGAGCTGAAAGTAAGGGTCGCTGTCAGAGACGACGTTAATTTCGACCTTACCGGTTATTGGATATTAATATTGATACCTACTTTTATCTGTTACACAGGATGTCTTAACGGGCAAATACGGTGAAGACTCCAAGCTCATCTATGACCTGAAGGACCAGGGTGGTGAGATCCTCGCACTTAGATACGATTTGACAGTTCCTTTCGCGAGGTATCTGGCCATGAGCAAGATCTCTTCCATTAAAAGATATCACATTGCCAAGGTCTACCGGAGAGATAACCCAGCTACGACGAAAGGCAGATATAGGGAATTTTATCAATGTGTAAGCACAATATGCATGTTATTGTATCCCAGGGATACTTTATTTCATTGACGTTGACATTTTTGGCATTTAACATTTCATATTTAATTGGATATTTTCAAGGATTTCGATATCGCCGGCCAGTACGATCCAATGCTACCGGATGTAGAGTGCATCCGGGTTGTGTGCGAAGCGTTGGAAGTCTTGAACCTGGGACCCTACTTAATTAAGCTGAATCATAGGTCTTTGCTGGATGGCATATTCGCTGCGTGCGGCGTGCCGCAGAGTAAATTCCGCAGTATCTGTTCCGCCGTAGACAAGCTGGACAAGAGCCCGTGGGAAGAGGTGAAGAAAGAGATGATAGACGAGAAAGGATTGGACGAGCATATCGCCGATAAGGTCGGCAAGTACGTCTCGCAGTCCGGTGGAGTGGAACTGATAGCCGAATTGAGAAAAGACAAAGAGCTGATGAAACAGTCTGTCGCTGTGCAAGGTTTAGACTCCATGGAACTGTTGCTAAAGTACTGCGGCATCTACAAAATTCTGGACAAAATTAAGTTTGATTTGAGTCTCGCGAGAGGTCTCGATTACTACACGGGTGTTATCTACGAAGCTATATTGTGCGGTATGTATATTGATCTTTACTTTTTAAATTTTCTTGGTATGTTACACAATGGAACATACAGGTTACGAAATAATTCTGGCAAAATATTAATAGCGTTCGTTGATTCTTTACAGGAGACGATGTCGGTGTTGGTAGCGTAGCAGGCGGTGGCCGTTACGATAATTTAGTGGGAATGTTCGACAGCAAAAACAAAAATGTACCCTGTGTCGGCGTGTCGGTGGGTGTGGAGCGAATATTCAGTGTTATGGAGGCGAAATTGGCGAATAAGGGCCTAAAAACGCGTACCGCCGAGATCGAGGTGTTTGTGGCGAGCGCACAGAAGAATCTGCACGAGGAGAGGATGAAGATACTAGTGGATCTGTGGGAAGCCGGCGTGAAGGCGGAACAGTCCTACAAGAAGAACGCCAAGCTCCTGGCGCAATTGCAGCACTGCGAGGAGAACGGCATCCCGCTGGCACTAATCGTCGGAGAAGGCGAGCTGGCGAAAGGTGAAGTTACGCTGAGAGTCGTCTCGACGCGAGAGGAGACTCGCGTGCCACGTAGCAACCTTATCAAGGAAATACGGAGGCAGTTAAAAACGTTATCGTAGCATCCTTGTATAAGTTCTCCTCACCGTCGCGAGATCGACATCAGTACAAGAAAATATTTATATCGCATTTAGTTTCATTTTGATCCGCATGCCGGGAAAAGTTTATTTATTAGATTTTGCATAAATTTATTTGTATTATTTCACACGACGTGCTAACGCGCGCGCAACCGTGATAAACTCTTTGTAACCGATAGACGCTAACTGTGAAGTCGTACGACAAGTGAACGCACGAGGAAGTGTAAACGACGCTCTTATAACGACGCTGTAAACTACACTTACTACGTGAGCATGTAGACAATTTTCACATGAATAATCCTTTAACTGAATTTCTCCGGATGAAATCTGGAATTTAACTGGTAATAATTCACAGCTTTGAGCTACCGCTCGAGAAACCAAATACATCTTTATAATTTATTTTGCAAGGACCTGTCAATAAAATGTTATAAATTTCGTAAAAAAAACGTCTCTCGTTCCTTTATTTATTACATTTAAACATTTTAAGATTTAGCGGAATAAATATGATCGCGCGAATGGCTGTGATAAATGTCCAAGTCACAAGATCGCAGCTGCCAATGTTTGAATTGCGATACGAAATATTAATCCGTAAATTACTTCGATTGTTTGACATGATTTACGTCCTAACTTAATAAATTCTCGAATCGATGAATTTTAATTCAATAGAAAATATTTTTAATATTTCTATTTACATAATATCTACGTTTTCTAAGTAATTTGTTTAACTATTAGTTTGTTAAATTAAGGATATATATGTCTTACTCATTATATCACAGTCTTCTCTTATCAAGTTTAAATTAAAATCTAATAACTTACGTATTTTATAATTTACTTACATTTCTAATAATTATCATTATACTAGCGTTATCTAGTATCTTATAAAATAGATTTCTCTTAGAAAATGCTACAAATTGGACTAGTCTGAAAAATTAGATACTTGTATACATTGATACAGACAACCTTTCACAAAGCTGATCGCCTTATTGTTAAATGACATTGCCTGGAATTTTCATATAAATGCATTTAAAATTATACTTCTTTTATCTACAGTGTTTCTTGATAAATTATGCATCGTTTTGAAGCGAAACACGAATTTGTTAATTACTGTAAAAAGTTCTTGTACTAGCATATATGGGATAAAATAATAATTTTTTGTACATGCAATATATGTAGTGGAATTGAAAATTTCTAATGGGCAAGATTCCCGTCTTACGCGTAAGTTTCAGTAATTCGGAAAAAATTCGTTTTGCGAAAATGTAGAGTCAATCTTTTTTTAACAAAAATTATAGTTAAATTCATAAATAGCGTTTATATATCTTAAAAACTGTTAGTATCTCGATATTTTTGCTAACAAAACTTGACTCCAAATTTCTCTGTCTTTAAAATAAAATAAAACAGTTTCTTTAATCGTTACCTTTCGCACAACATGATTACGAATTTGTTTTTCTTTCATTTTTTACCAGGTTTCTCGACTTTAACTTCTTTCAAGTCCGTATCCTCTTCCTTTCGAGCAGACCTCGTCATAGCTTTGTACTGCTCGAACGGATTGATCGTCGGCTTCTCTATCGTCATTTGCTGCGATGGCTTGTACGAGTCTATCAACACGCTGGGCTTCCTTGATTCTGGGGACCTTCCGCTGCTCGTCGAAGCATTTAAATTATCAATTACACGCATGTGTGTGTCATCCTGTTTCTTCTCCATTTCAAGCGGAACATCTTTGAAATCCACATTCGTCTCCTGCATTCCTCTTTCAAGTGTCCTACCCAATTCGTCGTTAAACTTTACTAATTTTTGCTCGAACACGGTGGAGGGTGGCTTGTAAACCGGTTCATAAACTGGTACAGAATCCTTTTGGGGATATATTCCATCTTTATGCATGCTTAAAATCATGGATTCATTTAACGCCGCAGGCGGCTCTTTGGAAATCTCGAGAACGAAAGGACTGATTGACGAAACACCTTTCTGATCCCTCCGAGGTGTAATTTGCTCGTCTCTCGAACCCGAGGGAACTACCGTGGAATCTTGATGTTCATTTTTCGATAGCATATTCATCTCCTCTGCCGGCGACATGATAGTCACCGTTTTCTGACTTGGACTGGTCGATTTGCTAATGTCAAAAGTTTTGGTGTTGTCCATAGCGAGGGGACTGAGGGGGGGAGTGGTTTTCTCGGGTTTGTCGGAATAAACGTCACTTAGGCTGAATGCCCTGGCGCGACGACGTAGATTCATCTCCGTGATCTGTCGCTGAAGCATACCCGCTTTCCATTTCGGCACCGGTTTAGGCGTGTGTAACGGCGTAGGTGTGGACTTGGTGCTCGTCGGACTCGGTTGCAGATTGAGTTGAGCGGGTCTTATGGAAAAACGTTGATTACCGGACGGCTGTTGGATCGGTGACGAAATTCCAGGCGGTCCCTCCATGTTCACGAGCGGTTCCTTCGGTGACACGGAAATGAAGGGTTCCATTGAGACGGGTTCTTGAAGATTTCGATCGGTCATTCTCTTAGGGAGTCGTAGCTGAAAGTATTTTTTATAGAATAAATTTCAAAATTACTATCGTTTGTGTTAAATTATTAATTGGTGTACGCTGTTGTGTTTTATAATTTATTTCAAAGTTCTAAATTTTTAATATTAGGTGTGAGAATTTTATAGTCGTCGAATTTTACAAAAATTTGATTTTCAGTAGTGCAAGCTTACCGACAATCGTGGTGAATCATAATCAGGCGGCGTGGGAGGACTTATTGGGGTCGCTACCGGTCTCAAAGAGAATCTCCTAGGCTTCACAGGAACGCTTCCCTTCCTGATGTAAGATGAAGGTGTGCTGGAGCCGGAATAACTGTTGTCAGCCAATTTGAGGGACATTCTCCTGCTTGATTGCGCTCCAGTGACGGTATTCTGATTGCTTTGATTCGCCGAAACTGAAGCAGGCGCGTTTGAGAAAAGGGTGAAGAGACTGGGTAACTTCGGCGGGCTCAAACAGGCCGTTCCCAATTTTCTCTTTGGTTTCTCTTGGGCGACGTACTCGTCGGGAACCGTTCCTACCCGTGCGTGAAGAGCGGTCAATGCTCTAAGGAAATCCGCCAGACTCGTCTCTTCCAGCAGATTGTTACCTTCCAGATAACTCGGCAGATTGCCGCCTGTGTGCGTGTAATAATGTGGCCTACTCGAGATCGAGTCGTGCCTCACGTTGAAGTACGAGGGCAGCGGGCCGATCGAATTATTCTGCTGATTGCCGTCGTCCACTATTTCAACGGGTTTCTCCGTGTTCCTCGTATTAGGACCCGCGTCCGACGACCTCTTATTCGCGAACTGTTTTCTCCATCTAGGGAAAAAGTTCTTGGGCGCCGGTAATGCGATCGACGCAAATTTCTTGTACGGTTTGTTATCCTTTGAGGACATGCTCGTGTCGCGATCCTTCATCATCTCCTGCAGCTTTGTCGAGGTTACTCCGGACCAGGTCCACTCGCTGTTACGTTGAACGGAATCGTTCCTCGTCGCGTGCAGTCGTATCTCGCTGGCCGCTCTGGGTCGAGGTTTGCCAAACGGAAACTTCTCACCGCCGATTGTCCATTGAGTAACGCCTTGATCGGCTGATTCATTCTGCGCGTCGGTCTGTCTCTCCATTTGGTCCAACTCGAAGTCATCCCGTGGAGGTATGTAACCGAGGACGTTCACCAAGCGCGCCAAGAGTTCCGCTGGTTGCACTATGGCGTGCGCGGCGAATGTCGCGTTCTTGTCTATCCTTTGAAGATCAGTCTCGGACACCACACGTGTCAGTTCGTCCTTTAAATAACGCGTTACGTAAGTAAGGCATCACAGTATTTAAAAAGAGGTGATGAGAAAATTATGGCTTACCGTTGGTACCACTTCGCTGTTAGCCCGTCGTCGTGGATGCGGTATAAAGCCGTCCGTGTATCCGCCAATTGTTAAATCTCGGAGATTCGGAAAACTGTTACTGCGCTGGAATTTCGCCGGAGGTTCCTCGGTATCGTACTTGTTCACATATACTCTCTAATAAAAAAAAAGTCCAATAAATAAATGCTAAACAAATTAATAATTGGTGCTTAGAGAGTTTCACTGATAATATTAATAAAAATAATAATATAAAAAGATATATAATTAATAATTATAAAATCCTGTATTAATTTATATTAATTATTAAAAATATAACAATTAAATGTAACTGGCGAATGATTAAACAGTAAGCTATGTGTTTGACGTAGCAAAAATTAAAAGAGAATTTCGTTATTAATTTATTAATAAATCGAATAAATTTATGAAGATTTCGAACACAACACGTATTTAGAAAGAACAAAAAAGATGATAAAATAAAGATCTTTCATAGGAATATGTGGCAGACAGTTTCATATATGCAGATGCAGAATATGGCAAAAGTATGCAGTTGCTTAAGGCCATCTGGTCCAAGCCAACCAGGTCACTTACTTTGACCTTAGAGAGCTGTAACTCGTTGAAAACGCGGCGCAGGTAGTCGACCTCTTTGTTAAACTCGTTCCAAATCTTGCTCTGCGTAAGCTTGAGATTCATCGCCAGTTTGTGCTCGAGCCTCGTAATCTTCTTGCTGCGCATACCGCGAGCGATGAATGTCATTATCATGACGATGTAGCCCAGCCCGAAGGAGATCCAGCAAATCAGGAATATCTTGTACATAATGAAGAACGGGCCGCTCCCCTTCGTATTGTCCTGGCCTGCGAGATTTAAGCAGAGAGCTAAGAATAGAATCTTCTTCGTGGCACAAAAGCTTCTCCCTTTATTATTCCCGTCAATTTTCACTCGCGCTTGATTTTAATTAACTGAAGATATTCGTTTTGAATAACTTCGAATAATTTTCATTCAGGAGTTATGAATATATATTTCAATTGTACATTTCATGTATTGCTGTGACTTATCCTTTTGTTTCTCATATTTTATACTTTATTTTCAATTACATATTTTAATTAGCTACATATGATTATGCATGCAGTTTTATTTTTTAATTTATGACGGGCGTTTAGAAAACACTACTTACGTATTAAGATCTGCTTCCTACGTGAGCATGTAACGATTGAAAACATTCATTTTTTAATTAGGCGAAACAGGCTAAGCTCGTAGATTGTAGCAACTGATGTTTATGATAAGAATACAAATGTATACTGTTTCAATATTATCAATCAAGAAAGCTGACGAAGTTGATCAAACGTATATAGTTTCAAGTGGCTCGATATTATCAAATTAAATCAACTAAATGTTAATCATTCTGAATTACGTATTATTTCTTACTAAAAATAAACACTTCGGTATAGCAAATTCGGTATTACTCATTTTCTTCTCGAAAATAGATTAAACATCAATTTTTTTATATTTTTAAGCTCGAAAAACTTTTTATATTTTTCTGTTACGCATAGGCACAAAATAGAAAAATGTTAATTTACGATTATTTATCAATTTTCTACAATAATTTAATTTTTTTTATTTTAATTTATGTATTTTTTCATTCCAGTATTGTATGTGGTATCTATAGGTATCTTTTTGCGGAATGTTTTGTAAGTTTCTCAAAAATATTATCTTGTTCATTAATTATCGATTATACAATACAGATTCATCGTCCATGAACAATTCTGTTTGTTTTATAACAGACAGACTGTACACAAAATTCCTTTAATCACGTCGCAATAAATATCAATTTTATACTTCTGCGATACCTATGTCTTTGCCATACGTTTGTGCCATACTTAGTTTGAATTACGAATGATGCGACTGAATAAATGATATGAATGATGTATTATATCATCCATAGAATAAAAAAAAGAGCAGTTTTCAAGAACCGTTCAAGAACGCACGATTCTACGACTCGCGCGCACGGTTGCGAAAATAAAACTTCACTCTTACTAGCGATAAAAAAAAATAAGTTAATCACGTTTCGCGTGCGCGTCTGAAGGAATCGATAAGATAGGACATTTACCCGCCACGAAATCTCCGAAACCGATGGTCGTGAGGGTAACAAAGGCGTAATAGACCGATTCATCGTAGGACCATTTCTCGAAATACGAGAACAGGATCGCCGGGAAGAAGATGAACACGATGAAGCCGGGCGTCAGGTACAGAAAGATCTGGGCAGCCAGTCTCATTGTTTTACGCGTCTTGGGCGGTATCGACTTGTTGGACGAATAATCGGTGAAAGACTGACGTTGCTTATAGGACTTGTACTTCTGATAGGCCTTGATAAACACTTGGCTGAAAAATTCACCCAGCTGCGTCAGCAAAATCCCGTTCATCGGGATGCCTATGAGACCGTAGAAGATCATCAAGATGCGGCTGAGGGTGTTTGTAGGTGCCAAATTGCCATATCCTGCATAGTTTATAATAATAACGTTAATAATAATAATAATAAATCAATTATTTAGGAAGACTAAAGAATAACGAAGATTACTGATAGAAAGGAAGTTATTGATAAGGAGAGACCTCCTTACTTCAAAGAAAAATCATGATAATTTAAAATCTATTAATTTTCAGGAAATATTTGAAAGATTATGTATAATAAAATTATAGCTGATAATTATATAATTATCCTAATTTAAAGGGAAGAAAAGCTTAAACAAACCGATAATTCGATATGTACTTATTCTCTAAATTCGAAAGACGTCTCAATGTTTCAAACGTTTTCTTGAAACGTTAGATCTTTGGCATAAATACGTAAATAAAAAAAATTTGTAACTGTGCGTAATTAAAGGGTATAAAGACGGAATGGCATAAGCTAGTCCATTGACTTTAGATAAAAACTGATTATAATTACGACTTAGATACGTTAAAAAAAAAACGCTTCCACTGATAGGTATCTACCGATAGTGCTGACGACCGTGTAGGCAAAATAAAAGCTGTTGTAGTAGTCCCATCGTAAGTGAACGACCTCATCCTCGGTCGGTTCGTGGACTGATTTGCCGCAGTAATCGGTGATCTTCTGCAGAATCTCTTTCTCACTATGGTTTGCACTGGGTACGTAGTGTTTGTGAAGTAACTCTGAAAGAAATAATTACACGTGTATGTACTTGAAAAGTGGATTGGCCGTCGGATAATCTTAAATTTTATCTCTCCGTCCGCTCTCATCCGTCTGTCTACTGAAAGATAATCTCTCTTTCTTCCCGAACGGGGACGTTTTCGAGACAATTGCTGTACGCAGCTATCTTATCAGCCGATATTTGTCGTCTTATATTGTCGGTTTGTTGTACAAGCAGACCCCCGCCTGGACCTTCCGCGTGCGCAATTGCGATCGGAACGCGATTGTCTTTCGTCGCGTATCGAGGCTAACGGAATATCAGGACGGTGCCATATCCTTGTAGAGAGAAAAAAAAAAAGATAAATTATAAATCATCCCGCAGTTTTCCAGAGCGTATTTTTATTCCTCGTGATGGGGCATAGCCACCCGAGGTAGGGGATAATAGCCACGTGAGCGGATATCGCCACTTTCGGTTTTGACAGGAGTGGCCGAGATAACGATTTCGTAATAGATTTCGGTGACACTGACACTGGCCGTCAACTAACTCTTCCCGTCGCACCGACATTGTCTGGTTATTTGAATAATGCCCTTTTCTTGCACGAACAATACATCGGGCATGGTCATGTACACAAAACCCAATGACGCCAAACAGCCGCGCCGACTTTCCGGCTATTTGCGAGATTGTTACAAAAGATATGACGCATTTTGTAGAGTTGCGAAATCAGCATCCCGAGAAGTTCTACTTTTTGAGGATCCGATAGCTCATCTGAGTTTGAATCGCGTTCCGAGAAGGGGTGAAAATCCAGATTCTGAAACTCTTGATCGCGGCATCTGGAAAATTTAAGACATTGAAAGCTTCTTGAGATTTCCAACTTCGAGGAATCTATCTCCGATATATCTCAGATAAATATATGACTAGAAAAATTAAACGAGAGAAATTAAACTTCTCCGCATCTGTTACAATCGAATTACGGATTTAAAAAGCGACAGGCGACCATTGGTGCAACCTCAAGTGACAATCTCGATGACACAACTGTTTTAGGATGCTAGAAGCATAAAGGTATTTCGTTACTAAATGCATGTCGGAAGTTTCAAACGTTTTACACGCCAGACCCGTATTCTGCACGACCGTGGCCTAAGCATAGTTTGCATTATTATCACCGAAATCTCGTAACACGTCGCGAGCAACACGGCATGAGTCGGTATAGTCGGCATAGTTAATTAATCGATTGATTAATTAACGAGCACGCGATACGGGCATATGATAGCGACATTTTTTATGACGTGAATATAAATAAATATGCTTTCCTAATTAATATTCAGAGATGTTAAAATTTAATCTTCCGCGGCGTGATAACGCGCGCGCATGGAATCTCAAAAGTACCGTTCCGCTTATCGAAAGAAAAAAACATTATTTGGTATTTGAAAGATACGGTCGAGATACCAATCAATAATAAGATTCTCAGGAACATTAGCTTTTAAACGATTAAACTAATTGTAAGATAAGAAATGCGCGCACTTGATGTAAGCGAAGCTTCCGTTTATTGTTCTTAGCTACTAAATTGCAACGACAAAAAGCTACAACTGTTCTCTGATCCCTTTTTCCAGGATTGGTTTATAAAATAAAGTTTCGCGTCAATATCTCGAGAACTTCTCTCTCCGTGTTGCGTTTCTAACAAACGGAGATATGCAAATAGTTTTGCAAAGTCGCATTGCGACTTGCAAATGACATGCAACTCCGTTCGCGTTTTCGCCATTCCGCTCGCATGTAGCTTTCTCCTTGATACTTCGACGAAGCTCGTCAATCAAAACGACTTCCAGAAATCAGGACTGCTTTGCTATTTTTATACCTAAATGGTTTTGTTATTTTTATGTCTGCTTTAATCACGAATAAAAATTTAATGAATATGCGTAAAGTACGCGCAAAATGATTTCCAAGAATCTATACTTTACTTGAGCGATAGCGTTTGTCGCTAGTTTTCAATTTTGGACATTAAGTACTTCTGTAAATCTTCGAATTATCAGTAATCAATTTATCAAAGTCTATTAAATTTGAATAAAAAATTATTGTTCGCATGTTTCTCGAGAGATCCTTCATTCTATCAAGGAGAAATCGATCATAGAATTTATAGGCAAGACAAATTTTGGTAGGTCTAGAACTACACCAAGTCGTATTTGCCTATCAAACATCAGGATAATCTATCAACTACATCAAGTATCCGGAAATCATGAGTTCTCGTTAACGAGAACAGATTAGGGACCGATCTTCGCGCGAGATAGCCGATATCGGAGATTGTCATCATTATTTTCTTACTGTTGATCGTAGTGCGTTCAGCTTTTTCCTCGTCGATCTTCATTTTCTCGTTGTGGCTCTCGATGAAGTAGAAGATGGTAGCGCCCAGCACCAGGTACACGAGGAACAACAGCAGCAGGGCGAGCCATTGCTTCTTGGACATTCTCGAATACTGTCGGCGAGATGCTGAAATCTAGCGTGGACCCGTCTGCCAGACGAGATGAGGGATAATTTCCAAGGAATGACGATTCCCGTCGTCAGACAATCAAGACGTCCCCGTTAAAGCGGCGGATATGCCGCGGACTCGGATTCTCGACATGATTTCTGGTTGGGCTGAACAGCCGATCGAGTGAGCTTCCTGGCTCGCTCGCCACAAGCACACTAACTCTTTCCCGTCAAGAGCGGCTTTCTTTTACGGCTTCTTAGGCGGCGATTATCGTATCGATTATGACGAGCTCTCACGAGGGCGATGTTATCACCCGATATCTCCGATCCATCAGAAGTCTTCTTGACGATTTAGGCGTCGCGTCGTCATCGCGGTTGCGTCTCACTGCTAAGTGCCTGGAGGACCCTGTGACCAAGAGATCGTACAATGTATAACGATACACTGATGCAGCGGTCGAAACGCAGGGAGCCTTGCAAAACTTGAAATATGCAACGCCGCAGTATTAATTTAATTTATACCAAGTGTTAATATGAACTACGTTGCAAGATAATTGATATATGAGTTAAAATATCAGAGCAGGATGTGGATTAGATATAAAAAAAATCGATAATATCTTCCTCACCCTTTGGGAGGCGATGACACCGCTGCTCTATTAAAATTTCCTGAGACTATTTGACTAATCAGGTTTCGTTGCACGGCCAATAATTCGGCAGCTCGAAAAGGAGAGACGTGTTGGCTCGTAGAACTCGTAATTACCCGAGGTGAAATCTATCTGGCGCACCTTCGACGTCAAACCGCCAAAACCCTTCCCTCAACAATGCCGGTTGCACAATACGTTCGGTCTCCGCCGGTGAACATCATATATCCTACCGGCTTGCCGGATCGCAAATAACAAATAGCGATCCACGTGGATCGTAATAGCGATCGATTTTTGCATTCGCAAGGATAATTTACGGCGTGAAACAACGTCGCGCGTGTCTCCCTCAAGTTCACGCCTCTCGTTCGGTCGCGTGACTCGTCGCCGGTTCGAGCGCATGGTACAGAAATTTGCATAAGTGCATATCGAGCTCGAGACAGCACAAAGTATTTCAGAATTGGCGGAAAGTCATATGAGATCATATGAAAGAGCTCGTATCGCTTATTGTGAGAAACGGGACGACGATTTCGTCGGTTGCTCCCTGATGAAAATATGGAATTAAATTAAATGAAAGAAAGAGGCGATCAAACGTCGACGTTTCGATATCCTAGCCAAGAGTTGAATTAAAAGTTATTAAATTAAAATCGTTATGTAACAAGGCGAGTCCGTTTCAAGCTAGAGAATCATATGATACCAATTCGGAAAGTCGAGAATTGATATACAAAATTATTGCGTGACACAGTAAAATGAAGAACGGCGAGCGATCGGAGGACAAACGCGTTCGATTCGTCTTTTGATCCTCTTACGGCGTCATTGCATGTCCATAAATATGATTTATAACGCGCGAGGAACGTCTCGGCCGCAATGGTCTCGACGTGCCGATCGCTATTTGCTAATAACGCCGTTGTGGACATTGCTCGTTTATACTGGTCTGAGAAAATTCGCGTTTATTGCGAGCAGAGGTCGGAGACTCCTCGGTAACGGAGATATGTAACAGGTTTCAGATAAAAAAAAGAGAGAAAGAGAGAGAGCTCTTGTCTGCCGAATTTGGCCTCGAATGCGAACGAAGAAATATATATATATTAAAAGACAAACAGATACTGATACGTTTCTTCAAAGAGTTAAGACTTTAGAGGATTACGTTTTAACAAATCCATCTCTCGATATCTCCACTTCGTCCGAGAAATCCGTCGCCAGGCCTTCTTCTCCTCCACCCGTGTGACGAAGGAACAACGCGTCACGTTATCGCGAATCTTCGGTGACGTTAACGCACATCACGCCAGTATCGATGATCGCCTCTAATTGACGAGATAAATTTGCGGACGCGTTTCGTGCACGGATATTTTCTTCACTCGCAAAACGGCGACGAATGACGAGCAGTTATCGCATTATTCTCTCTCCAAGTACAGTTCGCTGGTCTTACTTCTTTTGTAACGTCTAGCTAAAACGAGAAGTATGATTCATTATAAAAGTGCAATTATAATTAGCAGAATGTTTGAAGCAAACAGTTTATCACACTACTTTTTGTTTTGAGAAGATAATTTTCTTTCGAGAACGTTTAATAAAATAATGTTATACCTGGGAAGCGCGAGTTAAAAAAAAAAGCTATAGTGGAAGCGTAAATGCGCGTTTAAGAAAAACTTTCATTCAAAGATTGAAATTTCATATTTATTTTGAAAATATATATCAGTTATATAGTTGCAACAATTTTTTCGTAACATAAACTAATTGTTTTAGTATTTTCGGATGATTGCATTTGGTAGTTTTGTTTAGGCTTTAAGTTATAATTTACAAAGACTATCTTCTCGCTTACGATGACACGAGTATAACAAAATCTTGGACCTATACACTTCTCAAACGAAGAGACCATGCAAATGCCTTATTCGGTAACGTAACCGCTATTGTTTCATTGCAATCCGGTGATAATTGCGAATCTCACGCAGAGCCTGTAACTTTGAAAACGTAATGACGCACTTTAATGTAAGCAGGTTGAAATGATTAGTTGAATGACGTTTTACGACGGCATTTTAACTCGAATAATTTTATGGCTATTAACGGCCATTTAACAACTGTTATTATCTTCCATTTACTGCACACGTCGTGTCGGTCACGGCTGCGGTTAAAATATGCCGATACTAACGCACACGTGCGGTAATTAGTTAACAATTAATGTGTAAAACAGTTGGTCGGGAAGAAATATGAAGTATTAATCACGCGTCTCATATCGATCAACTCACACGAGTCACACGATCAAACAAACTCTAATAGTCGTACCTTAAAAAAATTGAACGCATTAGTATTTCGTGGAATCGATGTCGATTACGTTACTAGAAAGAGAATTTTTTTTAGTACGTTGCAATTTAATTAATATTATTAGTTAATGTTGATGCTGTAAAAAGAATATATTGCGTCAATAGCTTTCTTATGTATAAATTATTTTGAAAAAAACTAAACTTTTAAAAGTGGACTTTGTGACTTGCTTAAATAATGCTCAATATCTAAAAATAACATTTATTTCCTTATCGTCAGATACAATGTTGCAAAGTCGATGTATTCTTCAATAAATCATACTATTTTTTTGCATATTAATTAAGGTGAACATATGTACGACATCAATCATTAAAATCGATCGAAAAATACCTACCGGCAAATATCGGTGAGACAGCATTACGCAGTAATAATTGTAATTGTGTAGCAGCAATTAAATTACAGGAGATATACATGAGATCGTAATTATTGAATGGTAGAATTGATGGTATATTGACTGTTTCATGTCTGTGATAACGTTAAGATTGACAACGATACGTTATCAAGTATTTTTCCATTTCTTGAATTTTCCATTACTTAATCGCTACTGCAATACTCAGCTGCCGCATTTAATAACTTTTAAATATACTTGTTTATTTTTCACTTTCAATATTTTTCTTGTGAAAAGATCTAAACGAGAAATTTCTGGTGAACAAAGGTGGCATTATTATTTTAATTCAATTAATTTTTATATAATATAAAATGTACTTCAAATTTTTGTGAGAGATAATCAAGACACTCTATGTTGATGTTTGAAGAGATATTAATGATAAATATAATTTCTTTTTAGATAAATCGTAAATTCAACGAGTTAATTAAAGTTATATAATAATGAGAGTAATCAAATGGAAACAATTACACGTAAGAGTAATTACACATAAAGTTATACAATCTATAGAATATATATACTTAGAACGTATTTATTTAATTAATATATAGATACAACAAATATCACAATCCTAATTTTCATCTTAATTTGTCATCATTTTCCATTTTTACAAAAAATCATAATCAATATCTTAATCCACATGGATATGTCAAATACAAATTCTCCAAAGTTCAATAACATACATATACAAAAGTTAAGAGACACTTCATATATTAAGCGTCAATAATAGTTAATCCGAAAATATTACTGTTCTTTTATCTTTATTGGCTTATTTAATCGCTTTATACCCGTAATACTCACCTGTCTCATCCGTTGCATACTGCTTTAGCACGTTGCACATATCTGCCTTAAGCCGACGATCCACATTTTGTAATAACGTTTATGATCACAGGCGCGGAACTTTGAATCATTTTCGGACGGCCGGATTAATTTTATTGACAGAGATTCCGCAATCCCGTTGTTGTAAAAGGTCTAAGAGTTTATCTGTCGAATTAACGGATCAGCGCGGTCGAGTACTTGGCCGAATGAAGACTATCCGTAATCGAGAGCAGCACTAGGCGAAAGATCGTCCGGATGATGGTGGGAGGACCGAAAACGAGTTCTGCAGTACTTGTCAAAATGATCTTCTTAAACGGTATGTTAAAGTGCTGCAAAAATAATAAGGGGATAGAAAAAATGTTTTTAATGTAATTCAAGAAAATAATTCAATATATTTGATGGTTATATCAGTCGCTTTAAAAGATGGAACACTATAAAAAGAAAGCTAAAAATTAAGAATAAAGGAGTCGATGTTTCCATTCGTTTTTAATACAAGGCCAACCGTTTCGATCACGGCGTGTATATAACTGCATTATCTGCTACATTTCACGTCCCGTACTTAGCTGTGTTAATGTGTCTGTTTAATCAGCAACCAAACGCTAATAACAGCTCCCTTTTTAGCCATGAGAATTCGATCGGAGAAAAATATTGAATTTATTCGAAAGGTGAAATAGCATAATTTATTATTTCAATAATTGCCGAAAGATTAATCTAGAGATTTAATTTTCCAAGCTTTAATTAAATTTTTCTTAAGGTTTAAATCAAACGTCCATACTAAATCTTTCATTTCCACCCAGGTTTGCTTAAACTTCACACAAATATGTTTCATGGTATTTACGAAAAAACAATTTAATTCTCAAAAAATAAAGGTGCAAAACATAATACATATATTTTTCTCGACCTTCTTGAAACACTTGTATACGATACAAATATTATATCCATCTATCGTTATAAAATATGTCATCACATATTTTAGTTTAGCTGTTATATTCTTATATTGTATTTCATATAGTGATGTAGTATTAATCACAACGGAACTTTTCGTTTGTCAGACTATTTATGTGTATAGCATTTTTTTTACACGTACTCAATTAAACCGTAAATCATACTGTTTTATTTAATGACATAAAAAAATAATATAAATTTACAGTCATTGTATGTAGTCATTGCTAATAAGCAAAATGTTAGCAATGAGCCAGCAGTTTGCTAGTAGACTCGGACAGGATATTGAGGCAGATTGCCATCAACTGTGTTGACAGTAAACGCATGTTCTACCAGCAGTCAGTCTGCTGACATAATTTGGCAACAAATTTCTAACAGAAATCAAACAGAATCTAACAGTATCTAACGATACTTCAAATGGAATTTATAATTAAGTCAAATGGAATATATTTAAATGGTATGAAATGGCAGATTCTGCAATCAATTTGCCATCCTATTCTCCTGACATTTTGCTGACAAAATTTATAGCAGATACTTTGCAAAATCTGTTTTCGACAGACTTGTTTCTCTGGGAATTATGGGAAAAGAAATAAAATAATAATTATCGTTTGCACGTATTACAAAAATTAAAATGCCTCGGAGTCACTCAAACTAAAAATGAAATAAAATTACACGATAAAACAACTTACAAATTGCTAATTAGATGATAATTTTTCGATAACTACTCTTTTAATAAAACTGAATAAAAAATAATTTATATTAATCTATTCTCATCGCCAGAACTCTTTGGAAAACACGCAGATATAAAAGTTAAATTGAGAACAATAAAAATAGTATAAAACCATAATAAAATTTGCAGTATTAAAGTACAGATTGCAGTACAAATTTAGAATGGCCGTAAAAAGTATATTTCTTGTATTTCGTTAGATTGATATAAAAATTTCTCTCCGTAGTACGCAATTTATCAATTAATAAAGTTCACAAATTTTCTTTATAATATATATAACATTGCATTTCCTTCTCCTTCGCACTAGTACTTCCATCTAAATTCTATGTCCTCGATTTTGATATTCAATCCTTCGAACGTCGTATCGATGCCAGGATCATCGAAACTTTCATCCAGGTCAATCTTCTATAATTAAAATTTCACATGAATGAATTTCAGGAATATTGATTTTTTTCGATGATAATTATCTAGATATCTAGAGAGAAATCTAGCATAAAAAATATATCAAGTTCTTATACAAACCTGTAATGCAGCGATTTGCGAAGGATCGCCCACCAACAAAATTTGTGGTTCTTTCTCGTTCGTGTCGTCGATCATTTTAGAAACCTGGACCTGTTTGTCTTTCGCCGGCAGCTTATGCTAAATTCAATTAAATTCAAATAAGTTAGTTGCATAATTGAATCGGACTGCACAAAATATATAATAAGTCAGTTTTTACACCTACATCATACTTACAGTTTCTTTCACGGCCTTCTTTTTATTTTTATTCGGACTAGAGGGTTCAAAAGAATCTTGCAAAAATGCATCGGCACCGTCGTCACTGTCGACCAACGCATGAGCTGTTCTCTTGTGCATCACCAGCGTGCTACTTTGACGATATTTTCTGGAGCATAGTGTGCACTCGAATGGTCGTTGAGGTGTATGTACCTACAAAGGTAAAAATATCTAATCTTTGACCAGTACTGTATTATACTCTTAATAATAGATTGATTAATTGATATTAAATGCTTACAAGATGATGCTTATATAGACTAGAATATTCGGTAAACCTTCTACCACAGTTTTCTATAGAACAAACGTAGGGCTTTTCGCCTGAGTGTATCCGTATGTGATTTTTGTAGTTTGTCGCGCTAGCGAACGCTTTACCACACATCGGTTGCGTACATTTATATGGTCGCTCGCCAGTGTGGGTCCTTACATGAACCTAATAAGCATGAAGCCTTCGTTACATTTCGACAATAAAACATCTGGACAATAAAACAATCATCAAACCTCTTGCGTACCTTCCTAATGTTACTCGTAGTAAATGATCGGCCACAACCGTTAAACGGGCATACGAAAGGACGTTCTCCCGTGTGAGTTCTCACGTGTTTTAGCAGATCGCCCGACGTCTTGAAACTCTTGTTACACGTTCCATTCGTGCATTTGTATGGTTTTTCGCCCGTGTGTGTCCGTGAATGCGCTTTCAGACTGTAACCGGTCGAAAAGCTCTTTTTACATTTTGGATGAGAACATCTATATGGTCTCTGGCCAGTATGTGAACGCTCGTGAACCTATAAAAAAAGATTAAGAATACCGCTTTGAATAACTCGATTTAAAAAATTTTGTGTGAAGTTTTTCAATTATTTAAAATGATTCGTGCTAATCTTGCAAAACTGATTACCTTGAGATGATGGGGCGTGCTGTAAACCTTTGAACATCCTTCTCTGGGACAAGGATATTTAACTTTTGCGTCGGATAGTTTGTTGATTAAAATCTTGGGATCTTTTTTCTTTAACTTCCCATCTTCAATCTCCCATAAACTTTCGTCTACGTCCACATGGCCGGCCACCATGTACGCGGTGCCATTGATAAATTCAACCTGCGAATATGTGTCCTCTACATTTTCAGTGGCAGCGTCTTCGGTTTGTACAAATGTAGCTGGATCTAATTCCAGTTGGAGAGCCTTGCCATCGCCAAATTCTGATAAGTCTCGCAGTAAAATAGTGTCTCCGTTCTCGAGCGTCGTTTGCAATGTTTGCGTCTTGAAATCTGGATCTGCAAATGAGTTTCATCAGAATAAACAAAGTGTTCAAACAGATGTATGCTTTCTTTCAAATATAAATTGTATTAAAAAGAATAGTTCTTTTCTATCATGTAGTCTAGAATAATATTCAAGAGATTTATCGACTTCAAATGGCTACTGACCGATATCACTGAGATTATTCGTAACAAAAGCTTGAGTTCCGTCGGGCAACGTAATCGTAGTCACCATGGTGCCAAGCAACTGGTCGTCCAATATAAGCTCCTGTACTTGGTTCGCATCCTTTCCAGTGCTATCATTGATCATAACTGACAGACACTCCAGAATATCCACAGGATTATTCTGAAATTAATCATCATACATATTAGAATGTATCGAAAGTCGATATTGAAATAGGTTGGAAGCAGAAAGGTAAATAAAACAAATAATTAGGTAAGCATAATGAGAAGAATTACATCCAACTTGTAAACTATTTTAATTACTCATCGTTAAACGTTAAACCACTAGCTTATTGATAGAAGCTAATATGAAGCAATCCTGTGCGATGATCAAAATAAAATTCTCAAGCATGACACGGTATTATTTATTTCCATATAAATACCTCAGGTTCGTCCAAAATCATCTCCTCCTCTTCCTCCTCCTCCTCCTGATTCGCAGTGCAATTCGGAGAATCCGCACTTTGAGCCGACATAATCCCCTACGACTGTGACCCAGCTGCGAACAGAAAACATTTCTCATTGATATCTGCCGGACGAGGTATTCCACAATGTTATTGTTTCTTTCGAGAGCGCGCACGTCGAGCGGCATGGGTACCTTTACCGCGCAAATCGCAATCGAACGGCCCCTTCGTTCCTCATGATAAGGGGTGATAGTCAACCGGCTCGGTGACGGTTAACAGTGAACGTTATCGCCGATGCCGCGATCGACGTGCGGTGTATCGCTTCCTGGACGCGTCACGAACGGGCACGTCGAGTCGCGTGTCATCCTCGTGCACAGCCGTCCCGCGACAGGAGACAGACCGATACACGGTGCGAGGCAACACGACGAATAGCCGTGAATAGCCCGTCGTACCCATGTTGCGAGGGACGACGCGACGCAACGTCAACACGACGTGCCATGACATAACATGACGCGACGTGACCCGCTCGCCCGCCCGCACGCGGTGAAGTGAATTGAATTTTCGCCGATTCGGCCTTCGGCCGGTCAAGCCGGTTCCCCGTACACCAGCACGCCACAAAGAATCTTGGGAAATATTACCCATAAACTCGACCGCCCGCGAAATCCTCTTGCGACCAGCGCGCGACGGACCGGAACTCCGGCTACGCGGTTATCTCCGTCATGGCGGCGTAAGCGCGCCCCGATTCGAACGTCCGAACGCACGTGAGCGAACCAGCGAAGCCGCGATCCGGTTTCCGAAAGGTCTTCTGAGAGACGGCTGACAGCGAAATGAGAAGCCAAAAGCAAGATACTCACGATCGTCTTAAATATGATTTGAATGTAATCACAATACTAATTAAGATCAAACTTAAGTATATCGAATTAAAAATATCGCCCTGTAAATCAACCGTTCGCGAGTCATCAAAGGACTTGACGGAAACGGGGACCGCCGTCATCCAATTTACAGTAATCACATGTACAATCATTTAGCATCTACAGATTATTAATTACAATTAGACTCGAATCACATCCGCGCAAAGTCGGATATGTAATGTACAGCGATAGTATCATGAAAATCGCGACATGCTCTAATTAGTCTAAGAAAATACACAACATTTGCATTTTTCGGCGATCCTTAACTCGCTTCCTGTTTCGCGCGGTATAAAATTACATAATTACATAATTTACATATCAAGACGCTAGTTACAATTGTAAGGGCGACTTCGACTAAACTTCAATTAACTCAGTCGGCAGAATATAGCATATAAAAAGAAATTTCTAATTATATAATTTCTTATTCTTAATCTAATCTTTCTTATCAAAATCCATCTTTTATCACAAAATTAGTCATTCTATCTTAACAAAACAATACAAAGTTGCTTGATAATTTATAATCGTTAATTAAGTTAATCGAGATTCGATTAAGTCACCTAAATGTTTGGCGCAAAATGGGAATAAGCCAGTGCCTCGCAGCGCAAAAGGCGCGGGAAGAGAAATGAACGTAATCCATCTGACTTATGTTAATTATAAATTATATTATATTCATTACAATTTTGTAACTATGTAACTGTAAGCATATCCGCTTAGAAAGTCATGAAGCCTTCGAGAACGCCCTTCCCTAAAAGATCACTCGCCGCTTATACAGGCTCGTTCGACAGGCCCGCTTCTTTCTCCTCGGCAACCGATTCGATGATGCGACCGCGCGGCTCGGATCGTGACCGCGGGGACGAAAAATGCGTGTTGCGCGTTCGCGGACGAACGTCCGTTTCGCAAGCGAGAGTTCGCTAATTCGATCGCGAGCCGCGCGATCCCGTAGAGAGATGAAAGTGCCTCGCCGTGATCCCCTGCGAGAGTTTAGTCCTTATTACCTCGGGAGCCTCGAGTCACACGCAGGTGGGGTACACCATGCACGTGGCGAGTGGCGAGAAGGGGGATGCTGAAATTCATGCACGCGCGGCCGCGGCGGTGGCCGCCGACGTTCTCCGCACGACCTGGATCAGTTCCTTGCACCGCATCCACGACGCGTCCCGCGGAATCCGACTGGGTCCTTAGAGTCCCCCGCGAGTCCGATAAATAAGACAGATCCTCGCCGCGGCGACTCTGCTATCCGATCCGGGCGTGCGGGTGTGCGCCGTGCTCTCATCGTCCCATTGGGATCCTGCTCGATCTCGGTGGCCCGACGATCGATCGCGCGACGATGACAACGGTGGGTGGAAGTGACGAGACGAATCTGCATTTCCTCCGCGGGAGAGACCGCTCACCGGTGGTTGACAGCACACAGCCACTGTGTCGTTCGATCTGAAAATTTTAAATAATTTTAAAGCCTGCTCGGCGCGCGCTGGGACGCTGAAAAAGGGTTGCGACGAACGATACTTCACGATTCGATTAAATTTCAGAAGATTTTAAAAATTATAGAATTTTTTTTCGGAACGTTTGGAAGATAGATATTCAAATGTGGAATTTGTATTTCGATATGGTTAATTCAATATTGGAACTTGAAATCTTAATAAAGCGTTATTAGGCGCGAAAGGTGCTCGGCACAATTTTATGAAGGCTCGATGATTTCAGAAAAATGGCACTAATAAAAAGTTTTGAATAATTTAACTCTGAGTAAATTTTATGGTGTTGTTCGATTAGTTATCTGAATTAATGATATTCTTGGCTTTCAAGGAGTTTGATGTGATTTTTAATATTTATAAAAAATGAAAATATAATTTGTTGCAATCTAGAAAAGTCGTAAGTGGTCTTAATGCAAAAATATGTTTACTTTGTAATTTATAAAGAAAAAATGGTTTAAGCAACTTTTCCATTTCAATTTTTACTACTTAAAGTAAGAAAGGAACATATAAATCAGCTTTACAACGAAGTTTCTTTGACAAAAGAAACTTGTTTGTGAAGCTACTTACGTCCCATCACCTTTTGGGCCGCTCTTGCAATTCGTATCGAGTAATTACTCCCACGCGATAAATTAGTTTATCTACGGATTTAATGTATCATTAGAAAGGTAGAGGACGGTAACTAGGCGCATTATTCACGCACTTATAAATTCTTGTGCATGCGTATGCGTGTGTATCGATGTAATTGCTTCATTGCGGTTCGCTGTTACTTAATCAAATCGTGATGTATCACGAGAACGGGATCGCTCTCAATTTACAGCAATACATATATTTTTTCTTCATCCTCATACGCTATGTGTCAACACTCTTACTAATCAGACTATATTGTGCAAAAGTAAATTAGATCGCAAACGAATTGTCTCTACTCGTGTTTAAAACATTTTGTTCTCAACCCAACATTTATAAATCATAAACTTTCAAATAATATATATAGCAAACATTTAGAAGCGATACACATATATCAAGAAAATTATAATAGAAAATTATGTTATGCAAAAGTAAATTCAGTCGCAAGCTAATTGTCTCGATTCGAATTTAAGACGTCTTTGTTCCCGATCTAACATTTAGAAACAGCGATATAAAAAAAGTTATAATAAAAAATTATGTTATGTAAAAGTAAATTAAATCGCAAACTAATTGTCTCGGTTTTAGTTCAAAACGTTTTGTTCTCGATTCAAAACGTTTATAGATTAATAAATTACTTTCTAATAATATGTGAAATATTAATAAACAGCGATTATATATCAACAAAGTTGCAACAGAAAATTAAAAGATTATATTATGTATATAAACCGCTTAATTTTTTACTTGGCGAGTTAGTTTACTTTTGCATAACGTTGCCTCTTAAATTTGTCGTTATTACAATCGAGTTTTCTCTCTCGTGAGAGAGACCTCACGCCCTTTCGAAACTCGTTCCTTTCGCGAATTCCATTGTCCGGCTCGCCGATCGATTATCTATCAGCGTAGAAATACTACTTATGCGCACGAGGTTTCCGCACTGTTGAATCTCAAATGTCGAATTCAATAGCGGCCGAATGTACTCCCAGGTGAAGGTGAGCGGGAAGGAAGGCGAAAGGGTGGGTTTGACACGCACTGCCTAGCACGTGTGTGTCTTCATACGAGCCTCTTCGAGGACTAAGCTCGGCGTGCAACATACGCGTTTTGTCGAGGCGTAGGCACGCGGTTACTCGCGATCAGTGTAGGAGTATTATACCGATGGTATGCGGAGATATAATGTAACTACTGTCGCGATCGCGCTAAAAATATTGCCTTTCAAAGCGCAATGTTGCTGGCTCGAATCCTGGTGGGAAAAGTCTGTTTTGTATACTCGCAGAGCAGCGTTCCGCAAGCAGGTCGTCGAAATGATGTAATGTGTTTCGACGTTACGTCAAGTTTATGTTATAATAAATTACTCCCGATGCCATTGGAGAATCTAGAAGCAAGAATAATGTGTTAGAAATTGATAAGTACGAGATCATAAAGGAGTAACAGAATGCGCTCTCTCAGCCTTCTTGTTATATGCAAGAGTGTCGATGTTTTACGGCGAGGGATAAAAAATGCATTGAGAAATAATAATTACAAATTAAAAATAATGATTTAACTCTTTATGAATAAGAGCATATTTTTTATCTTTAAAAATGTAATGAACAATGTAACAAATATATATGGAATCTTGATGGATCAATGTTATTTCGTTTTTTATTAAGCTATTGCGCACGAAGCGTTTCATTAGCATGTAAAATGGTTGATGGTAAAAAACGTTGACCATAAAACAAATATAAAAATATTCTATAAAACATACATAAACCTTCTAAATTGATTGTTTCATGTAACGATCGATCTAATTAGACATAATTCTTGTTAAGATACAAACGATTGATATAGTTCTTTGATATTCATATTTTTACATATTAATAAAATATCTCTTGCAAGTTTTATTTCGAAGATTAATTTCGTAGATTAGTTTCGGAGGCGCAATTATATAACTTCTTCCTATATTATGCAATTATGAATTCTATATATGCGTTTACATACAAGGATTTTTAGGAACGTACTCACCTTGACATATTTCTGTAACATATATTTTGCACGGTCCGTTTTCTGCATTGTGATTCATCAGAAAAGAGATTTATCTGTCGTAAACGTGTATATTGTGACGTAGAAGCCCTCGCCCCGGGCTGTTTCACGAAGAATAACAACACAACGTCTAAAGTTTTCGTCAGATTTGGAGTCCATTCTTTTCTAGTGATGCAAGAAATGAGATAATATATAAATATAAAATGTAAATAATCACGTTGCTAATTTCAAAATTCGAAAATCGGTTTAACATACCTAATACTAAAATCTACAAAATCAATTATTTTGTATTAATGATTATTATTGTTGCATATTCCATAATAAGTATTTGATTTAATTTGTGAACAATAACTCGTGAATTCTTTATATTTCAAATTTAAGGAAAAGCCGTGTAAGAAGCGGTAGCTATAGTTTTGTTGTCGCCGTTGGCTACTTTACTTTATTTCTTTGCGAACAAATCTGTACGAAAGTATCGTATATGCACATACATCCGCAGGTAATATCTTGAGTGCGCAATATAATATAACTCTCACTAAGAAAAATTTCTGTTACAGCAACCATAAATTGTTGAACAGCATAATTTTTTGAGTCAAAGATTTAATGGACACAATAAAGTACTCCATAATACGCTAGGCAGAGACAGATCGAGACATTTCAAAGCGCAGCAAAAACTACTTTCTAAGTCCATTTTTACACGAATCTTGCTTTAACAAAAGTTTGAAATTCTTGCTGAGGAGAAATCGACTCCAAAGTAGACGTGAAATATGCTCTAGAATTTCTAAATCGCTTTTCTCACGTTTTTTGTAACTAGCAGACAATTCGGCAATAGTTCTGATGACAAGATACATCGTTAATTACAAGATAAATCGCTATTTCAGATAACAGTGGTGTTGCTGCTTCTCACGGTGACTGTGGCCAGTTCCCTGCCACTCGCCAATGTACACGTGAAATTCGTGTCGCCTCCCAATGTGTACGAACACAGCATTACAACAGATGGTTAGCTACCGATTGTGCAATAATACTTTATGTCGCTAAGTTGAAGTGCTTTAAACTCGTTCGCATTCGTTTTCAGGAGATCGAACGGTGGCTCAGAAATCGTTCATCTCGATCGGCCGACGAAGCGCGCCGAAGCGTTCTAAGGATTCTGGTGATTGTTTTATTTCTATACTTGTATAATTATTAATTTAAGAGCTAATCAATATTAATAATATATCTTTTAAACGATACCCAATGAGTAAATCGTTCATATCTGTGGTTCATTTTTACAGAGTATAATTATAGGACGAGTTTACGTCAAAATCACTTACAAGTGATAACGAGTTCAAACGCTGAATCACTGTGGCCGGTTGGCGTTTTCCTGCCACCGATTGACGTCAATGATCTTGGGTATAGCTGGCAGGAGGTGCATCGCAACCTCCCCGAGGAATTCTACAAGCAGCGTAAGCATGTCTTTTCGCCGATAATTGCTGGCTGATAACACAAAGTGGCTTGATCTGTCCGCTTTTTAATTCATGCTTTCTATTGAACTTTTACGTTTTCGACAAATTGACATTCTAATTTGTCATCTTCTTTATATATGTGTACATATCGCTTCATATAATTCTGGTTCGTTCTGATTTCAGAACGAGATCCATATTTATTGACCAACCGTGAAGCAATGATGGCAGTTAAATACCTCTATGGATTGGGTGAGCTTTTCTTCGACGATTATCCTCACGCAAGAGCGTTACTACGAAATCAGGAAGAGAGAAAGCTGAATGGTCTGCATGGACATGTTCTGGGTAGTCTGAATCCTAGGTCTCCGTTTCGCAGGAAAGATAGAAGGAACTAATCTAAGAGTGATGAAAGTGATGAACTTCAAACACAAGCTTAATTTTGATATTCTTTTTACAATTTCCTGAATTTTGTGAATATAAATGCAACAAAATATAACAAGTTAGAAACTAACGTGTATTTTCACGGAGAAAACAGGAATGATGTATTTTAAAATCATTCTGCTTTGAATTACTAATTTTAAATTACTAATTAATAAGATATAATGTCCAATCACTGCTGAGTGGCAGATTTTCGTATATTTTTGTCAAATTCATTTCAAATTAACAAAATTAATTAATAAATTAAAATGAAAAAAATATATATCTAAAAATATGTGTAATACTAAAACACACCTTACTTGTTATTGTTTTATGTATTATAAAGAATACATTATTTTATACATCCGCAACACATGCATCCGTCAGAGTGCTGATTCTTACGGAAAATCTCGCGTTTTATACAAAAGACTCACAGGAAGTTTAATCACTTATTTAGTTCATCCGTACGACGGAGTATCACGTTTGTCCTTAAATAAGCCACCGTGTTAAGCATACAGCTATCATTATTAAAAGACCACTGGCGACGGTCGTTCTCATTGTTCCATTACAAAGATCTCCGTAACAGAGACACATATACACTTTTTTGTAATTCCACACGGTGTAAGCACATCTCTCCTCGTTGTCGTCAGGACCTCGCTGGAAGCATAATCTCTGCGTGGCGGTACCATATTCTGCAAAATATAAATTTAACATTTTTAGAAAATCTTTTTATAAAAGAACAATTAAGCTGTATCAATTAAAAAATTTTTATTATTTAATAAATAATTTGTACGACTAATAACGTAATATGATATAATATTAATATAAACTTTATATATGCAAAATATATATTTTTATTACAAAATAATATAAATTATTTTGCTAATTGTAAATTAAAAAAAAATAATTTACCGTTATTTAAGTTCTGACTCTCGATGATTTTTCCGCACCATCCGGAAACACACGGCACCGCGTCGATGCCTTTTTCGAGCTCGATTTGCGTAGAATTCATGGTGAAAGGATCCTTGCACGAGCCCAGGTCTCCCCTCGATCTGCAGCTTACGCATCTTCGAAGAATGCCTGTAATAGCACGACGAATGCAACTGTCACTTTTACCTGCTATCGCTCAAGCATCATTTCACTTGCGCCGCGATAGACATCGAACGATTAATGATACTCGGAATTTTCTTATAATCTGTGTAAACTATAAAGCATTGAATAAAGTAAAATTTGTAAAATACGATGCAATATATAATTTGTACTTTAGTAATAGTTAATCCATATTGAAATTAAATTTGTTTTTATAAGACATATAGGAATAAATATTCATAGGAAATACTAGTATTCCAGATCTATCATTAACAAAACAGATGTTCTTGTTAAAAATAAAGTATTGATTAAAACGTGTAAAATTTCGAATGTTTCCACGTTTGTAATTTTACATTATTCAAAAAAGAGAGAAATTCTATCAAATATATTTTCCTGAGCATATATTTGTTAATCGCTATGCATTATCTGTTATTTTGTTAAAAAGATATTTAAGAATATAAACGCAAATGTACGGATAAGAGTAATTGAGAAAGTTTTTTGGCTCGCGATAGAAACTCACCGACGCATTCTTGAAGCGCGATTATGCAGAAAGTCGCGACGACCGCTTGGACGCTTGTTCGAAGTTTCATCCTATTTCGCTTTTAATTTCAGTTCAGTCTTTTTGTGATTGAAACCTATTAGCCCGTTAATAATCACCGTAGACAACGAGCCGGGAGCTACGATGAAACACAGCCATGTTGTTACTAAACGTAACTGTCTGGAGACGGATACGTACGCCTTGTAGCTGTCTCTACCAGTTCCCCCTTTCACTCGAGTTTAAGGTCACAGCATGCCGAAGAAGATCGGATCGAGGGAACGCGAAGGAGATAGCCACGAGGTCTCACGAAGTGTTCTCGACCGATAACCAGTCGCACAAAATGCTTGTTCAATAAAGTCATCCACAATAACATTAAAAATACATAATTGCGCGTGACAAAACTATGCAATTAACAGCGTTGGCTATAAGAGACAAGAGCCAAAAGAGGCGACTTTAAATAATTCTCGATATCTTTCTGGAAAAAATTTTTAATTTTAATAAACACAAAAATCATTGTGAGAGAGAGATTGTGAGAAAAATACATTATATATAATATATATCTACAAGAAGATTAATAGTTTAAAATAAACGTTTAATTTAAGATAATATGATGTAAGTATTATTATTAACTTCTATAAAATGTCAAGATAATTTACAACTTGACATCGAAATTATTCAACTTCCTCTCCTGAAAGATCGTCTTGCGGCAAAGGCTGAAATTTGATTCTTTGCCGACAGGCCATTATTACACCCGCGCAATAGCAGAGTGAAGTCAAGAAAATTATAAATCCTAAGTAGCTCAAATGTCGAAAGAAAGCTGCAAAAAAGCGACACGTACGAAGAAATTTATACATTTAGAAAAATTTTACGCGCTTACAAAGATGTTAATAATTTTATAATTAGCTATTTAATAATAAAACTTTTATCTTTATTTTTGTTATTACATTTTATGTATTTGTTGATAATAATTTTAATTGTGCGAGTTTTAACTGACCTTGCGTCAAAAGCCGAGTCTTAGATACGACGATAATCTTCAAGCGCATCATATTAATGTTATCCACGTAACATGTATAGTTACCTTGTTCCTCTTTGGACACGTCTATCGAGAAAGAATGCGCACAGTATTAAAATTTGTTACACGTAGAAGTTATTAAGTTTTGTCATGCATTTGGATAAATAAAACAAATATATTTCAGATTGTGCTTTCGTAAAATCTAATTCTAAGAGATCAATATACGTAACGTTACGTTACCTGTTAAATAGAGCGTTGAGAAAGTGTCTACCATCACTCGAGCTTCTTTATCTTTTTTACGGAACGATTGACCCATTCCCTTCTTCAGAGTGAGCGTATCCTTTTTCCAAATTACTTGCGACGCTGTGCTCGATCTATATTGAAGATACGTTGTCCGTTTCCAATTTTTGTATTTAAATGTATAAGATGTGATACGTTAAGCGCAGAAGAATTAATTGGATTTTGTAAAAGATTGCGCTTGAGGAATCTTTGGGCAAATTACTCCGGACATGATACGGCAAGATGCGCGCCTTCGGCGAGAACATATCGTTTGGCGTAGCGAAACTTTTCGCCCTTCCTCCTTTTCTTTACGCGTGGACACTTCTTGCAAGGTTCTGTTAAAATAAATTCCGGCAAATATCGTACGACACGGCTGATGCTAGGAAATTCATTTTGAAGCAGGACAGATCTGAGAATGCACAGGGTTTTTAAAATTTGCGTACTATATTGCGTAAAGAATCGCTGTTAGAGTTTCGCAATTACAGACATTTACTTGCAAGGAAGAATTGGAGATCCTCGGAAGAAGTGTATAATGATCGAGTCATTTTTCTCTATCACCGTCTAAAATAATAATAGATATTAATAAAGCGATTAATAAAATAATAATAAAAGATTATATCATCGGTGTTTAAATTTTGAAGTTTATAATGGACGTTTTCAAGTTTATAATGGGAAAGAATAAAAACACAAATACAGCCACTCGCCGAATTTATGTTGCGCTTTAATCTACAATAACCCCTACTGGTTTTGATACCGCGATTATATATGCATTGCTTGCACGAGCTCCAGGGACCCCATTCGGACACTGCCTGAAGGGTTACTCCTTCCTCACGGATATCTGCTAAATCTCTCATTTTCGAGACCTGACGAGAAATTCCTTTCTTTGAAATCGCGTTAATTTAGAAAATTACTCTTCAATATTACGTCTCGATATGACGCGTATGTGTCGTGTAGTTATTTCAAATAAAATGTCTCTGTCCCATTCTTTATTTAAATTTACTGAATTAACAGAACAATATATATATCGTAATCTTATTTATAATCAACTAACAGTTCATTAACTCACTGCAAATCTCGTAGTGACGGGCCATAAATATGTTTCGCGATACTTTTCCCACTCGGTTATGTTTCCCTTTTCTATAAACTCGCCGCCAATATCTTTGAGAATAGCTGTCGCGCATAAAAATGAATGTTAATTTCGATACTCAAGAACTGGCAACAAATATGTATTGTACAACAAAAATTTGTAAGAATCAAATAATTAAAATTAACATTGTAAAAACACGAGTTGAATTGCGATTAATATCCTATAATCGGTCAAGAATTTTTAGTAATGATCCATCGTTAAAAAAAAAGCTAATTGTGTCAAAATATGCATTCAATACAAAACAAAATAAAATAGTAATATTATAACAAAATGAAATATTACGTCTATTGTTATAATTTATTTTACGTTCGATCCTATAATTATATTTATTTTCTTTCTCTTGCCCCTCTTCGCCGTGACAACGATAAACGCCGGCGTCGGTGACTGTGAGGTTTTTCACGATGAGAGAAAGATCCGGTGTTATGTAGACTCGACTGTATGAAACATTATTATCCATTCCCAACTCGACTTCCTTTTCCGATTCTTCTCGATACCGATCTTGATAGTACCAAATTTTCGGTTGGGGCTCCTCGTGCTCGTTGCTTCTGCGAAAATTCGGATTCCCAACAGTTTACCGAGAAATATATCGCTTCAGAAAATATATAGTTCTCGTGTCCCGAGAAATTATCATAATTAATTAAATTCATTAAAGAAAGCTTTTATTTAGCACGACTTTACTCAAACTCTGATTAACTTAATGGCCGATCAACCAGCAGAACTGCTTAAAGCATTTTTGTAATTATTTAATTTCTTGTCCCTAATTTAATATTTTTTTCTACATACTGAAAAACAAAATAAATACATTTATATTAATAAAATAGAGTACAAGTATTACTTTGTAAATTAATCAGCAGAATTGCTTAAAGCAAACATTTTTATAACAATTATAACTATACAATTAATTAATCTTATCTTTTTTCCTTTATATAACTTACTTATTAACATATTAATAATTCTAT